CCAGCATCGTCCTGTGGCACCGGTGATGCCGCTTGACTCGGTGGCTCGACGATGTGGCCGGTTGCAGAGTCAGGATCAATCAGAAAAGACGCACGCTGGAGGGGGGGGGCGATACCACCAAAGGCTGTTGTACAGGGCTGGGGCTGTCGACGCTGACGGTGCCACCGCAGGCTCGACCGGTACTGTCGCCGACCTCGTGGCTGATGACGATGATCCTGGCGTGGTCCTGGCAGCGGTTTCGGCACGAACATCGCGCCCCACAGGAGCTCCCGAAAAGCTCGAAGCGTGGTCTTGCATCGGTGTCGGATGCGTTGGTGGGGAATAAGATGGGGCAGGTGGTGGCACGCTAGGAGCGTGGGGGGGCCACAGGAGGTTGTACATTCGCGTCGGCAGCAGCATCCACTGCTTGATTTGCTCGCAGGAGAGTGAGTACTTGTTCCAACAGCNTCCTGGCGTGGTCCTGGCAGCTGTTTCGTCACGAACATCGCGTCCCACAGGAGCTCCCGAGGGCTCGAAGCGTGGTCTTGCATCGGTGTCGGACCCGTTGGTGGGGAAGAAGATGGGGCAGGTCGTGGCACGCTAGGAGCGTGGGGGGGCACAGGAGGTTGTACATTCGCGTCGGCAGCAGCATCCACTACTTGATTTGCTCGCAGGAGAGTGAGTACTTGTTCCAACAGCATTTCAGTACGGGAGGCCGAAGTCGAGGCGTGTGATGCAGCATGGCGTGGTGACTCAACAGGTTCGTCCAAAGGCAAGGAAGATGTGGGATGATCCATAACGGCATGGGCAGGGGCATGGCTTTTCACAGCGGCTGAACGTTCACGAAGTTGCATGTTGGCAAGTTTGAAAGCCAAAGAAGACCTGGTCGGTTGGCCTACATCAGCGGGAGGGCGTAGAACAAGCGGTGAAGAACAGAGAGAACCGTCTTCTGAAGCATCCTTGTTTCCCCCCAACAACCCAGAGCTACGAAAATCACCTCGATCATACATCACTTGCCTGTTACCGTGGCCTGACCTCCGTCGCCCTTTCCCACCGCGACTGCTGTCAGTGCTGGTCGCCCTGCTATTGCCCCCGCTCTGGTTCTGGCTCCGGCTACGGCTACGCCTAGACGGAGGCGTGTTTCTCCAACGACGGTCTCCGCTCCGGCTGCGCCCACGCCCAGACGAAGGGTTGGTGCGCTGTTGTCGTTCTGCGCTCCGACTCCTGCTCCGGCGATGGCGACTCGCCGGCGAAGACCTGGTAGGCTGGTTCCCCACGGCTCGCCCTCGCCTGTTATCTCCGACGCCGCGCCCTCGCGAAGACTGGGTGGAGCGGTGGTGGTCGTCCGTCCCGCTCTTGGCCGTCGAATCCCGGTCGCCCCAACGGTTCTTCCAGCTCTTGGACACCGGAGCTGCCGACCTACTGAAGTCCTTGTCCTCTCCAGAACCATGTGCAGGGCGTGAAGAGGCCTGGCGGGGGGCTTATAGATCGTGCTTGAAGTCGTTGGTCGAAGCAGCACGAGCAAGAGGCAGCTGGACTCCACCCTCCTGGGTCACCACCGACGTTCCTCGAGGACCTTCTGGAAAGGTGGCACGACGGAGAGCGAACAAAAGCTGGAACACGGACTGCCGCGAAGAAGGCGGAAGTTTCGCGAGGTACGGTGTGTGGTAGATGTGCCCGAAAGCAACGGTGTGCGGTTGGGGGAACTGTGCACGGACAAGTTGTTTGATGCCAGCCCATGCAAAAAGAGCTGCCAATCTGTCCTCATCGTGGAAGGTGACACCTTTTGCAGGCATCTCCAGCGGGCGGGACAGGAACGCTGTATCTCCAACGCGGAACTCGTACACCGTGGTTGCCGCCGCAAACGATGCTCCGGCTTCAGCACCGGCCGGAAGTCCCAAAGCCACCGAAACTCCGGAGTCGGTGTCCTCTTCCGCTCCTTCTCGTTCGTCGGAGAAGCCGCCACCTCTCACCTTCTGCAGGCATCTCCAGCGGGCGGGACAGGAACGCTGTATCTCCAACGTGGAACTCGTACACCGTGGTTGCCGCCGCAAACGATGCTCCGTCTTCAGCACCGGCCGGAAGACCCAAAGTCACCGAAAACTCCGGAGTCGCTGTCCTCT